AGGAATGCCTCTCCTGTCTTCAAGACAGATTGCTGAGACCTTGTAATGTGTGAGGGCCACCCCTCTTTTATAGATGGCCTTGTGACTGCTGCTTTTATTCGTTAATATTTCAAAGTCAAGCGTGGAGAACTTAAATTGCTCCAGAGACCTTCTTGTGTGAGTGGGGATACTCTGCACCTCACGTGAGGGTGCTTGGTCCAAAGATGATTTATTGCCTAAGCTGAGAGGGGGAACAAGAACAGTCTGATATCACACAAGTCATCTCCTCAGCCTTCCTACAGCAGTGCTCTCAGTGTTTCTCCCAGACCCAGCTCGCACTGTGGTGTTATTCTTCCTGATAAGTTTCCTATGATGCTTGGATTCCTCCTGAGCCTGCCTTGGTCATTCAGAGAAGTCTGTGCATTTTTGCTCTGTCATCCTTGGCTCAAACATCATCACTGAAGCTTGAGAGAGGTCTGAAGCCAAGCACAGCAGGACTCTTAAGCTGCACTTTTCTGCTATTCCCCTAATGACTTGCCACAGTGGGGGAGAATGGCCTGTCATGCTGTGCACTGTTCACCATCTCACATACACTGTCTCTTTCAGGTGGTCTCAGCACAGCAGTGGGTTATCCTCTGGACACAGTGAAGGTACCTGTTGGAGCTTTTTTCTTGACTACAGGCTGAAAACAAACAGGCCCCTTTGCTTTCTCCCTTCTTTTTAGAAAACTAGTCCTCTGACAATACTTTTATCTTTGTTACATCAATATATAACTTTATTTGGTTATGCTGTTTGGGTTTTTTTTGTTTGTTTTTTTTTAATAATAAGTGAATTGTTTGGTGATGCTACTTTATGGCTAATTATCTGGCTTGTTGTATAGCATTTGTTTATTTACTTATTTTTTAATCTGATGTCTGCATTTTAAAGTGGTCCCTGTATTCTTAGGTGAGGATTCAAACTGAGAGGCATTACAATGGGATTTGGCACTGCATTCAGGAAACATACAGGACAGAAAAAGTAGGTACCTCTCATCAGGTAGGTTCATTGCAGCTGATACCACTTCTGGATGCCTTGTTTCAGAAAAGCAGAGCTGCCTGTGTTTGTGTGTGTGTGTGGGGTGGGCAGAAGTTACATACAATGGTTTGTAGGGGAGAAAGGTCAAGGTGAAATTTAGCTTTACCAATGAGCTGGAAGTGGGAGTAAGTTTTTGGCTCAGCAATGTATGGTCAATGTTTTTTAGCAGTTCCTTTCCCACACCATTTCCTCCTCAAAGTTTTGTTTTTTTTCCTCTGTCTCCAACTAGGTTTGGGGATTTTACAAAGGTGTGACTGCCTCAGTCCTCACAGTATCTCTGATTTCTTCTGTTTCATTTGGCACATACAAAAACTTCCTTTGCACCATCTGCAAGCTGCGATACGGGGCTGCAGAAGTGAAGCCATCCAAGCTGGATGTTGCTCTTGCTGGAGGTGCTGCTGGTGCTGTCCGGGTAGGTAAACAGCTGAAAGGGAAAGCTCAGCAAGGGATCTTGTTCACAACCATAGGAGTCTGTAAAAGCAGTGTATGTTTTCTTGCCCAGGAGGCCACGGGGGAGCCTGCAACACAGTAGGTTTGTTTTTGTAGGGGGTCACGTTCTGCTCGTGCTGCCCCCCCGCTGGTTGGCCCTGTGGTGTGGCTGAGTCCTGCTGGGCAGCTCGTGCTGGATTTGCTTTAGGGTGCCAAAAGACTTGAGAGCACTCTATTAAGAATAACATGGATCTTGGCAGCAAATGCGGAAAAAGGAAGGAAAACAACAAACTTTCCAGATGGCTCTGACAATATATTTATGTAAGGAAGATGTCAGTCCGTGTGCTGAAGCAAGGGCTGGTGTTTTGACAGTGGCTGCACAAACCCAGCATGTAGAAATGGGCTGTGAACAGTGTTGCCTGGCTCAGGACTCAAAACTCACCAGGGCATCACTGACAAGTGGTGCTGCCTGGCAAACATGCATGATCCCAGGTTGGGGATGTGAGGCTGAATCCAGGAGCAGTTTCCCACAGGCAGAAGGATTTCCGTGGGCATCTGCAGGGGCTGCCAACGCTCATCCTGGTGCCCTGGTGGTGTGTTGGGCAGAAATACGTGCCTGGTCACAGGCAATCCCCTTACAGGGCAGTCCAGGTGGTCAGTTTTCCAGGTGTTTCCTCGCAGGCAATGACTGTATTTAACACAGGTTACATTTATTTAAGTCTTTATGTCCTTAGTTCCAAATACAGGTCATGTAAGAGCTCTGATGTATGCTGCCCTATAGCTGAGGACATCTCCTTTCCATGCCTGTCTGGTTTAACAAGTAGTTATGGGTATTTAAAATCTGTTGATTTCTGCCTCACCTTCTGTTCTGCACAGACCTGCTCATATGTGTGTCCTGCTGTTGGGTGGGATTTAGCACAGAGGGAAGGAGGCTGGAAATTTCTGACTTCAGGCAATACTGCCTGAAAAGGTGGGAGACAAGGAATTTGCAGGAAGGGGATCGAAATCCTGTTTAAATGTGAAGAGTCAAGATACCATCCTCTGATGTTATAGGTTGTGTTGACAAACCCTAGTGAAGTGGCTAAGGTTCGCATGCAGACTCAGAGGAACCCACATCCTTCCGCTGCATCTCCCCAGCCTGTTTCCAAGCCAAAGTACCGAGGATCTCTGCACTGCCTGAAGGTGGTTGCCAAAGAGGAAGGTTTTGGGGGTCTATACAAGGGCTGCTCTGCATTACTCTGCAGGGATTGTTCCTCTTCTGCAATATATTTCCTTACCTATTCTGCTCTGTGTGACTGGCTCACACCAGCTGGGAAAAATAAACCAGGTAGGTACCAGAAAGCATGAGGCATTACCTACAAAAACGCCTTATTTAATATCATGCTAAGAGGAAAATCAGGCTGCCAGCAAACATCACCCAGCACCTATAAGACGTCACGCAGATCCAGCCCTCCCGTGGGGGTGCTGGGTGTTTGTTTCCTGGGGTCACAGGGCCATTTGTGCCCTCCTGGTGTGGGTGCCAGCAGCTGGTGTGTGAGGGCTTTGCTGGCACAACCTTGACCTTCAACAGCTACTCCTTTCCCTGTGGGAGGGGAATTAATGATATGCTCTGGTGCCTAGCATGTGGGTATGAAATCCTCTTAATGCAGAAATAGGATATGTAGCTAGAAATGAAACATGCACAAACCTCCCAGGAGCCACTGTGGAGCATGGATCAGAATCAGTCCAGAGCTTGAACAGTCCAGGTGCAGAACATAAAGACAATGAAGTTTCCTTGTTGTGATTTGGCTCCAAAAAACAACTATCCATTTTCAGGAGAAGATCAAGTAGGTGACACTCAGCAAGGAGCATATTCCTGAGAATTATAAAAATAAGTAGACTCAGGGTGTCAGTGTTCTCAGGCTGAATCAAGGCTACTTCATAAGGTGTTAAAATAGTTGCTGTCTCTGCACAAGTCAGTACGAGGTATGCAAAAATGAGTATGCTGTGAAATGAAGAGAATGCGGTTTGTGTGAGATCACTGATAACACACAACTGCAAGAGGTGCAGAAAATAACTGCTGAAAACCATGATTAAGTTAAGGAAGTTAGTTGATACATCCGAGATGCTTGCATGTGTATCAGTGCCAGGGTTGAGTTAACTGCTCTTCCCTTCACTCTCTCCTGCAGGTTTCCTTGTTGTGCTGCTTTCTGGTGGTTTTGCAGGAGTCCTGGCCTGGGGATTAGCTACTCCCATGGATGTCCTCAAATCACGGATACAAACAGATGAATCGGAGCAGCACAAGTACAGAGGCCTCATCCACTGTGCTAGGGAAAGTGTGAGAAAGGAGGGTGCAAAAGTGCTTTTCAAAGGTTTGGGTTTAAACTGCATTCGTGCCTTTCCTGTGAACATGCTGGTGTTTGTAACGTATGAGGCTGTGCTGAGATTTGCAGATCATTATACAAACAAAAAATAGCTTGTGCCACTCTGTTCAGAGGTGCGTTTTGTTTAGTTTGTGGGGTTTTTTGTTTGTTTGCTTTTGCTTTTTTTTTTTGGTAACACAACATCCCCAAACGACTGCTGAACGCCCCCTCCTTTGATGGACAGCACAGGAAGCAGGGACATTTCAGCACAAAGCTGGATGGCTGAAGGCTTTGTTTTATTCTTACAGGATTACAAACTCACCAGAGTCTTGGACTTCGATACAACCTCCCTTTTATCTTGTTAATGTATTTAGGCTGCAGCCACTGCTTGAAACACTTGCAAATATTTATGTTCTAAAAAGCTGGTAGTCTGATCAGAGATGTTGGTTTCTGCTGACACAGAAAATGATTTTCACAGCGAAGGCACAAGCTGGGGGAGGTTGTGTAAGATTTAACACTGCACTGTGTTCCCTTTACATGCAATGTCTGTGTTGCACTCACTGGGTCACTTAACTTGTGCCTCAGGCTGCAACTTCCCCTCAGCTGAGGTTTTGCCCAAGCACTTTAGAATTACATCTCTTTGGTAGGAGCCGAAATCTGAAGCTCCTTGCTTTTTCCTGTCTTTATTTAATGAGTGGCAGACACGGTTGGTTTACATAATGGCGCTAATGGCCTCATCGAAAGTGAAAGCAGGCAGGGTTCCCGGCAGCCACGTGATTTTCTCCCAGTGCAGCCCTGAGCCTGCCAGCATCACCCCCCCCCCTTGGAAGCTGAGGGGACTCCAGAGCTTAGGAATCTCTTCTGACCCTGGAAGAAGGCAAAACCATTTTTCTTTTCAGAAGAGAGGCTGCCAGAAAAGCTGTGCACGTTGGGGTTAGGCAAGTTAAAGGAGAGTTGCAAAGCTGTGGAGTATAATTAAGATTTACAACTTTCAAAATGTTCAGAGCAGACAAGTGTTTTGGGGCTTGTTTTTGGTCAAAGGTACATTTTGAGAGAACTTCTGGCTTTACTAACAATTATTTATTTTTCACAAAAGTATAAAGTTTTGTGAACTCATTTAAAAAAAACCAAAACACCACCCACACTGCTGCTCCAGAAGGGAAAGTCCCCAAAACCAGAAATACTTTAATTTGCTCATCCAGCTTCAAAAGCAGCACAAATGTTTTCTGTCTCTATTTCAATCCCTGGATGATGACAGACATCTGGAGCACACTGGATCCAGCCCCTGGAAGATTCTGTTGAAAGTGTCTTATTTTGAAGGGAAAGA